AAAAAATTAATTTAAACTTTTCCAAACTATATTGTAATAATATAATTGAACAAAGATTGATACATACCAATAAAAAAACCAAATACGAAAAATGAGTAAACAAAGCGCACAACTCGAGCGGTACAACGGCGGGGAAACCGATGACTATTCAAGTGACTCAGATGTATATAGTGATAATATATCTGAAAGTGGGTCAGAAAATTACAGTGACTATGGTTCCAACTATGAGTCAGATACTGAGACTACTATTAAATATTCAGTCATCCAACCCCCTAATATAGAAAAACAAATGTCTAATTCGACATATTCCACAGATCGAGTGGAAGTTATATATACTCAAAGGCAAGAAAAATTTGATAATAAATTCACTCAAATGGATCTATTAAATAGAATCCGCAAAATTGTCTCTTCACCTGTCAGAGATATGTCGAAAAATAAAGGATCATTAGAAGATATACATTTATGGGATTATCTCTTACCTAATTACGGAGCAAAAGAAGGAATTAGTCTGCTCGATGTGTACACACGAGAAGAATTGGTTGATAGATTAGTCATCCAAGTAGAGCAGAGGGGTCATTATAAATATTCAGTTGTAGATAATATTTCTGAAGTATATGGGATTCCTGGAGTACATGAATGTATTAACGGACAACGACCTTTGAGACCTGTGATTGATATTGATGCCTCTAGTGAGAAAATTCGAGCTGATACTGTAACTGCTGATGACGTTTTCGTTCGTATTTGTTGTTCATTTATAAGAGCATTATATCGAATCCTTGACTGTAGTTGGGAGGAAATTCTCAAAGGACTGGTAATTGCTTCATCCTCCGATTCTAACAAATGTAGTTATCACCTTCTATACGCTCCAGCTCTCCTTATTGACTATCAGGAGCTTAAAGAATTTACAGAATTGGTATATAAATTAACGGGAGAAAAATATGGTAAGTTTATTGATAAGGGATTACCTGGTCGAAATTTTAATCTTCGCATCATCGGTTTTGCGAAAAAAGACCGCGTAAAGCGCATACTTCAATTCTCACTAGATAATGGGTGGAATGATCTCAATGACGCCAGAGTTCAACCACCTTTTAGTTCGAGATATGAAGTAAGACCCCGTATACTTAGTACAGAAAAAATAAATAATCAGAAAAAAATAATCGTGGGTCAAGATGCGTTAAAAAAATACGCGAATCTAGTTTTGCAGAAGTATTCTGATTATCTTAGTGGTTGGGATATCAAAGAAAAGGATTCCCAATATTTCGTATATTTTAATCGAAAAACATATTTAGAATGCCCACTATGTAATCGCACACACGACAAGGATCAGCGGTGGTTTGGCCGTGCATATGGTAATGGTTCATTCATTGTGAAATGTTTCCAGCAAAATCGTAACGAATTAGGGGAAATTTTCAATGACCCATCTATTGCAGAAAAAATCCAACAGAAAAATAAAAATAATATCTTACCACCTACCTCTCATAAAACAAAAGACTCAGGATTCCCAAAGGCCTTTCTAAAAATGCTATCTTGGGTTAAATACGATGAATCCCTTACCGCATCAGAAAAATATGAAGAAAGATATGTGAAACCTCTATCAAAAGAAAACGATATTTATATAGGATCGCCTTGGGAAACTGGGAAAACATATGCCATGGAAAATTTAAATATCCCTGAAAATACAAGCTTACTCATAGTATCAACTCGACATACTTATTCAGATACCGTCACCACTAGGCTCAATCTCAAATCGTATTGTGCTATTGATGGACCTATAAATCTCAAAGATCATCAAAGGGTAGTGTGCCAGGTAGAAAGTTTACATCGTATTACTAATAAATGTAAATGTGATAATGGGGTTAGTGGGACTAAAAAATGCAAATGTATTCCAAATCCTTATATTCTAGCATTGGATGAGATTGTATCGGTTATTGCGCAAACACAAACTCGGTTAAGTGGTTTATCTATATCTCTTGCTAATTTCTCAGAATTAATAACACAGGCAGAGAGGGTTATTGTACTAGATAATGATCTCACTGACCTTAATATTGAATGGATTAAAGGACTTCGACCGAATAGGAAATATTCAGTTATCCACAACACATACCAGCCCCAAAAAGGTAAAACATTCCGTTTTGCTTCCGATAAAGAAACTGTATTAATAGAGCTCTGGGATTGGGCTAAGGAAATATCATCACTACCTTTTGAGGAACGAAAAAGCGCATCACTTATCTGCCATGAGAGGAGAAATATTCAAGGTATTGTGTGTAGTCTGAAAGAGGAGTTCCCTAATTTACGTATAAAAGAATATCATGGTAAGTCAGATCCCATAGAAAAGACTTGAGATTTCAGAGATGTAGAAAAGGCATGGAAAAATATTGATCTGGTTGCATATACTAGCACATTAAAAATAGGAGTTTCTTGCACCAATCCTAAGTTTGGGCGTGCATTCTGTCTCTTTAATAGTTATATAGAAACAAATGCTGGGACTAATCAGATGTTATTCCGCATGCGTTGCATTAAAGATTATTTGTGTTATATTCAACAAAGAACATCTAAAGCCCCAACTACAGAAGAGGAGTTGTTTCAATGGTTAACGGAAGCAAAACGCGGATGTCTCCCTCAAGAGCTACAGAATAGAGGAATATTTCCAAATATAGATACTATTATTCGAAATAAAGATGTCCCAACTATCCGGTTATGGGTGGCATATATGTTGGAAAAATTCCACTCTCAACGTCTATTTGGTTGGAGAATGGTTGATTTTCTCCAAAAGGCGGGTATGATAGTTTCAGTAATAGAGCCGACCCCCAAACCTGAAGATAATACTGTGACATTAACTAAAACAGTAAAGGATTATTCTTCGGTTATTAAAGCAGAGGAAATTTCAGACATTGCAAATGCGAATATTATTAACTGTGAAACAGCTGAACATCTAGAAAATAAGCCAAAGAAAACTTTAGAAGAAATGCGAGCATTAGACCGGCACCATATTGTAAATTGCTATAATATAACACCTGAGTCTTTGACTGAAGAATTCATCTCAGAGTTTGGGAATTCTAATCATATGCGCTGGTTTAGAGCTCTCCAGAAATTACGAGATGCAGGCACTAATAATGAGACAGCAGTTGAGGCAATTACCCGTGAAGATTATAGAAATGATAGGCTTGCAACTGTTACTAGAGCTGAAAAACATCGAATTTGTCGTGAATTATTAAAAATTTGTACGCCCGTTAAAGATATCGATGATAGAAATAAATATAAAGCTGATATTGTTAAAACACGGTTAGAATCACCTGAATCTATAAAATATCTTCAAGAATTAGTTCCTAAAATGGCTCGAGTTTTCGATAATACAGATGCATCTCGACGCGCCAAAAAATCTGGATTAAAAACTCTTAGAGCAAAACTTGGTTTATTAAATTCGGCACTTTATTCAACTTATGGCTTGAAACTCAAAGGTACAAATAACAAGCATACCTATTATCATCTAGTTGGAGCATTTGACGATGAGGATGCCCTCAAATTACCACCATACCAAACAGGTGAAGATTGGGTAAATGGGGAAGATTGGCGATATGGGTACAGTAAACTCTCACCCGATGAAATAGAACCGCCTCCTAATTCTATCTCACAAAATACTCGAGACTTATTTGATATCGTTTAAACAAGTATTTAGGATCCGTAGTATATTTTACAAAGGGGTTTTTGTGATGCTTAAAAATGATACTTGTAAAAAGATCCATTACGAAGACCATTTTTGTGACGCTTAAAACCGACATCTATAGCCATATAGTGACTACCTTCGGCAAAAGTGAATATAATTATTCATTCGCTTCTATTCTCTGCGCCTTTTGTTTTTCATACCAATTTCGAAAATAAACTTTCTTCGCATGCTTAGGACAGCATCCCGTCCCGGAATTGTTTCCTTTTCCACAGATGCCACAAGGGATTTTTGCTAAATTTTTTGCTACATTTTTTTCATATAATTTCCAGTGCAACGAACACCCTTCAGGTTGCCAGCAACTTTTCCCGCAAATCGAGCCATCTCTTTTAATATATGGACAGGTAAAACGTCTCGAACTATATCTTTTAACGTATTGATAGGTTGAACCCCCCATTCAAAGTGTTTTAATATATAACGTATAAAACCCGTTTCACTTTTTATGCAAATATATTTAATATAAAAACCAATTTAAATCCCGCCTTCTCATAGTCAAGTCTATTCGAAGTCAGAAAGTAGACAACATACACTGGCACATATAAATTTTTTTCCGAGATAAAGGAAATCAATTTAAACTTTTCCAAACTATATTGTAATAATATAATCAAACATATATTGACACTATATACCACATATATACTACACAAAAATGTATATCCAAGAAACAGAATATAATAAAGAAACGATTACCGCTAAGGAGTTATTCAAATTAGCTAGGCGATCGAAAAAACCAAAAATCTATAATTCAAAAACTAATCGTATGATTGTAATCAATGGGTCAGCATATAATGTCTTGATACGCGATGGTTATATGCATTGGAGAGAAGAAAGACTTTTGATTCCGTCATTCAATGAAATACCAACACTAAAAAAATGTTTATCTTTCGCATCTAATAAAATTTGGAGTATTGTTACAGAAAAAGGTCTTCTTACAAAAATCGATGGGAAAGTAAGCTTACTAGAAATTCTGCTTAAGGCAAACTGGAATGGATTTGCCATATGTGATTTGTTAAAATTATGTTGGAATAGTAGAGAAACTCGGGAATGGAGAAATAATATTCTCATAAATTTCCTCCATCACCCAAATTTAACTCCATCGAAATATAGGCCAAATGCCTTGTATGATGCATTCAGTAAAGCAGACGTTCTAGGTCCAGAACATATACTTGTTATAGCGAGAACACTACAATAAAAAATAAAAATGAATCGTGACTCTTAATATAGCCTGAGTCGCCACAACTCGAAGCTATAAATTTTTTTCGTTATATCATATATTAGTAACTTTTAAATCGATGTCCCAGTTACCCTAAGAAAAAAGCACAATTAATTTCGATTTGGAAAAATATTTTCTATAGTGTATATAACCTAAAGAATCATTCATAACCTACTATAGCATTCGATCATGTCAGCTATTGTAACAAAGATCATTGAAAAATACAATATCAGCTCCAAGACAAGTCCATCTGAACTTAGTCAATATACCTCTGAGTTTCTCAAAAACCTTACAGACGATAGGAAAAGGAATCAAGCACGAAGGCGTCTTCGGGATGGATTTAAATTTAGCAATGAGCAGGTAAGTATATTGATACCTAATCAGAGAGGTGGTAAAACCAAAGTCATAAATTTTAT